AGAGGCCCGGTATGGGGCAATGAAGCAAAGCATACCGAGCATCCCGGCGTATGGAGAGATGGAACAAAGTGAAAAGGAGGCCAAACACACGAGACCAAAAACGAACCAACCTCGGGCATGACCACCAGATATGCAGTACATCGCCACAACCCCGAAAACATCGATCACTACAGGCAGGGTTAGCCTGGGCCAGACGAGCCGGAACCCAATACCAACGGAACAATACCTTGTAGGCTGCTTCCAGCATGGTCGTATTAAATGAACATTTAGCTATGAGTGACCAGGCTTTTTTTCCAGTCCTCCGATCCACAGCCACTCCCAGGTCGCGTTCCCACTGAACAACATATGAAAGAAAAGTGTGCGACGAGCGTCTGTTCAAAGCTGCGTAAAGTAGGGAGATAAGGCCCGTGGCGCCCAGACGCTGTTGGCAAAGCCGTTCAAAGGCAGATTTCTGATATGGGAAAGCAGAAGTGGCCCTCAGCGAGAGTAGCCAGTGCCGCAATTGAAGGTACCGAAAAAATTCCGCTGGGGGAACATCCTGAGACTCCCGAAGGAAATTCCAGGTGGGGAAGGACCGAAAAATCAAAAAGTGTCGCACCTGTGAGAAACCATGAGCCACCCACCAAGAAAATGCCCTCGGGTGATCTAGACCCGGCGGGAAAAGAGGATTGTTAACGATTGGAAGCAAGGGCAAAAAGGGTGACATCAGGCCACTGGAGTAACGTACCGAGTCCCAGACTCGTAGGCCATGGAGCAACATCGGACTCAGCACCATAGGGCGCAGGGCAGGGGGAAGCCATAGCAGTGTCGACAGTGCGATAGGGGCACAATTAGGTAGTTCCAGCAGGACCCAGAGAGGAACATCGGAGGAAGCGTGCAACATAGACAGCGGGGCAATCTGGCTTGCCTGATAATACTTAGTTACATTGGGTACCCCAAGACCACCCTGGAGTCTATGAGCAAAGAGCGTATGTCTAGAGACTCTGGGGTGCTTATTGGCCCAAATGAAACGCATAAACTTCGCCTGAAGCAACCAAAGAAAATGAGGGGGAACCCGCACTGGGAGGGTGCGAAAATAATATAACAATTTCGGCAAGATGTGGTCATTTTCACTGAATGAACCCGTCCTATCCAAGACAGGTGCGGAAATTGCCAGGAATGCGAGAGGAAATCACTCTGAATTCTCACAGGTGTCCTGATCAGAAGATTTCCCTTCATTGCCTGCCCCGGTGACACAACAGGAAGTAAAATTAAACTTCAACAAATCAGGGTAGGAATAACTGTTGTCCCCATTGCCAGATTTCTCATTTCCTTTACCGATGAGTTTTTGAAGTTTTTTTTTTATTGGGGGGGGGGGGGGGGGGGTGCAAGTAGCTGGTCTTGCCTGGAGTGCAAAATAGTCTAGCACTGGCCCTGATGAGCAGTGGTCTCCTCTGTCCTCTTTTTAAAGGGTTGACCAACAGAATACCCCACATCTTACAGAGGTAAGAAGTTCAGGTTTCCATGGTGAGTGATATTAATTTCGAAAGTATCATAACCAAGGATGGAATGGATGGTTATAGGCTGTAGCAAATATGTCTCTTGCATATCATTTATCTGTATTCTTATAGCTTTATTTGCCTTACAACATTTACAGTACGTATTTATAAAAGGAATGTAGCACCCTCTAGGTAGATAGGATTTCTGTGGTAGTCAGAGGTCTGTTAGTAGCCTGGGATGATTCAGCCTGGGAGTGAGGCAGTGAGGTTATCTCAGGCCAGGCTGGGAGGCAGTACAGTTGAGGGTTTCTGGAGCCCTCCCACCCTTCTAGAAACTGCTGGAACTTTCTGGAAGAGAAGTGGAGGGGGGGGAGAGGAAGCTTGGAGTTGCATGTTTAGGGGAACCTGGCCAATCCCCAGACAGGAGGCCTGGCATGGTGACTGGGACAGCCCCTAAATGTGAGAGAGCCTGCACAGCAGGGGACTTGTTGGAGTTGGGTGGAAGATGGACTGAAGAAGATGCTGGAGTGTAGAGCCTGGAAGGGGCCCCAGGGAGGGGGTCCTACCTACAGGCTTGAGCAGACAGAAGGACTGTACCACAGTCTCCTAGAGAGGACAACCTGTCAGCAGAGGAGCCAGCCCAGCTTAAGGTCTGTAAGCAGCAGCAACCCACTAAGCTACAGGAAAAGGACAGTGTGAATACTTCTACACCCCTTGGGCACAGATGGGAGAAGGTGGTCAGGTGCAATACCCAACTAGTTCTCATCTGAAACTACCAGCTGTAAATCTTGGAAACCTTTGCCCAGGAATACTCTTAGGACAGCCAGGTGGATGAGGAGAGTTTCATCTGGGGTCTGAGGAGGTTCACCAAAGGGGACCTTGCAAAAGACTGTTGCTGATGTTTGATCCACATTTTGTATAGTTTGCTAAGACGTTGTCCTCAAAGTTTTACAGCTCCTCGGGCATATACCCCATATACCTGTCAGGGCTCCCAGGTATGACCAGAGGTGTTGAAGCAGGGAACGCAGACTTCAGATATGTGATTAACAATATAATTTATTAACACTAACAATACAAACATAAACGCAGTGCAATAATGCTAAACATAATACAGTGCAAACAAACCCAACCAACCACCCACAGATAACAGTATATCAATTGGGCAGGTAGGTACAGGGGGAGCAAGCGGAGAATGGTCAGGGTCACAGGCCAGGTTCAGCAGGGTATGCAAGCAGCGTAGTACAGAGGGTCAGGCAGAGGGATGGTCAGGGTCACAAGCCAGGGATCAGAACAGGTAGCAAAGGAACAGAAACAGGATGCAGGACAGATACAGGGCCCAGGACAAACACAACACCAAGGCAGAGTCTTGCAAGTCTGGCCATCCCTTAAATACAATAGTATCATCAGTTCCAGGTGTTAGCTGGCTGAAGGTTGAGTCTCTGATTGCTGGGAGCACCCGCTGGCCAGCCCTGGTACTGCAGATCAAAAGGCAGGTGAGTCCCACCATTGCTGGCCAGTCCATTCCTGACAGTACCCCCCCCCTCAAGGAGCGGCCTCAGGACGCTCCAAACAGTCCTAGCTGGGAAAAATGTTCCACCGCCCGGGTCTGGTAACTGGCGGGATATCAAAGACTGGCACACTGGGCAGGACTCCAGGGCAGAGGCACATCGGGTGCTGGACTCCGGAAGAGAGGCACACACCGGGCAGAGGCACATCGGGCTGGACTACCGGGCAGAGGCACTTCGGGCAGGACTCCGGGCAGAGCCACACCGGGCAGAGGCACATCGGGCTTGACTCCGGGCAGAGGCACATCGGGCTGGACTCCGGGCAGAGGCACATCGGGCTGGACTCCGGGACAGAGGCACATCCTGGACTCCGGGCAGAGGCACATCGGGCTGGACTCCGGGCAGAGGCACATGGGCTGGACTCCGGGCAGAGGCACATCGGGCTGGACTCCGGACAGGCCCATCGGGCTGGACTCCGGGCAGGAAGGCACATGGGCTGGACTCCGGGCAGAGGCAATCGGCAGGAGCCCGGGGGCAGTAGGCCACATCGGGCGGTAAGCGGCAGGCAGGCACTGGGCCCCCGGGTCGGGGCGACAGGCCTCGGGCCCCCTGGGCGGGGCGACAGGCCTCGGGCCCCCCGGGCGGGGGGACAGGCCTCGGGCCCCCGGGCGGGGCGACAAGGCCTCGGGGGCCCCCGGGCGGGGCGACAGGACTCGGGCCCCCGGCCGGGGCGACAGGCCTCGGGCCCCCGGGCGGGGCGAGGACTCGGGCCCCCGGGGGCCCCCACGGGCGACAGGCCTCGGGCCCCCGGGGGGAGCGGCGGTGCCGGACCCCCAGATGGAGCGACAGGCCTCGGGCCCCCAGGCGGGGACAGGCATCGGGGCCCCCCAGGCGGGGCGACAGGCATCGGGCCCCCAGGCGGGGCGACAGGCATCGGGCCCCCAGGCGGGGCGACAGGCATCGGGCCCCCAAGGCGGGGCGACAGGCATCGGGCCCCCAGGCGGAACTACAGGTCTCGGGCCCTCAGGCGGAGCGGCGGGTGCCGGACCCCCAGGCGGGGCGACAGGCATCGGGCCCCCAGGCGGGGCGACAGGCATCGGGCCCCCAGGCGGGGCGACAGGCATCGGCCCCCAGGCGGGGCGACAGCCTCGGGCCCCCAGGCGGGGCGACAGGCCTCGGGGCCCTCAGGGGGAGCGGCGGGCGCCGGACCCCCGGGTGGAGCGAGCAGGTCTCGTGCCCTCAGGCGGAGCGGCGGGCGCCGGACCCCCAGGTGGAGCGACAGGCATCGGGCCCCCAGGCGGGGGCGACAGGCATCGGGCCCCCAGGCGGGGCGGCGGGCGCCGGACCCCCAGGCGGAACTACAGGTCTCGGGCCCTCAGGCGGAGCGGCGGGCGCCGGACCCCCGGGGTGGAGCGACAGGTCTCGGGCCCTCAGGCGGAGCGGCGGGCGCCGGACCCCCAGGCGGAGCGACAGGTCTCGGGCCCCCAGGCGGGCGACAGGTCTCGGGCCCCCAGGCGGAGCGGCGGGCGCCGGACCCCCAGGCGGAGCGACAGGTCTCGGGCCCTCAGGCGGAGCGGCGGGCGCCGGACCCCCAGGTGGAGCGACAGGTCTCGGGCCCTCAGGGAGCGGAAGCGGCGGGCGCCGGGACCCCCAGGTGGAGCGGACAGGTCTCGGGCCCTCAGGCGGAGCGGGCGGGCGCCGGACCCCCAGGTGGAGCGACAGTCTCGGGCCCTCAGGCGGAAGCGGCGGGCGCCGGACCCCCAGGTTGGAGCGACAGGTCTCCGGGCCCTCAGGCGGAGCGGCGGGCGCGCCGGACCCCCAGGCGGTGCGACAGGTCTCGGGCCCTCAGGCGGAGCGACAGGTCGGGCCCCAGGCGGGGCGGCGGGCCGGCCGGACCCCCAGGTGGAGCGGCGGGGCGCTGGACCCCCAGGCGGTGCGACAGGTCTCGGGCCCCCAGGGAGAGCAGCGGGCACCGAGTCACCAGGCACGACAGTGGGCTCCGAGTCAACTGGCAATGACCGCTGGCACTAGGTCAGACATTGGATCGTCTGGCTGGACAGCGGGCATCGGGTCACCAGGCATCAGGTCATTTGGCTTGACAGCGGGCACCGTGTCATCTGGCAAGGCAGTGGGCTCGAGTCAACTGGTATGACCGCGGGCACTGGGTCAGACATTGGATCGTCTGACCGGACAGCGGGCATCGGGTCACCAGGCATCAGGTCATTTGGCTCGACCGCGGGCACCGCGTCATCTGGCAAGGCAGTGGGCTCCGAGTCAAACTGGTATGACCGCGGGCACTGGGTCAGACATTGGATCGTCTGACTGGACAGCGGGCATCGGGTCACCAGGCATCAAGTCATTTTGGCTTGACAGCGAGCACACGCGTCATCTGGCAAAGGCAGTGGGTTCCGAGTCAACTGGCATGACCGCGGGCACTGGGGCAGACATTGAATCGTCTGGCTGGACAGCGGGCATCGGGTCACCAGGCATCAGGTCATTTGGCTCGACAGCGGGCACCGCGTCATCTGGCAAGGCAGTGGGCTCCGAGTCAACAGGCACGACAGTGGGCACCGAGTCATCAGGTACCGGATTGTCTGGCTCGACAGCAGGCATCGGGTCACCAGGTATGACAGCAGGCACTGGGTCACAGGCATCAGGTCATTTGGCTCGCCAGCGGGCACCGCGTCATCTGGCAAGGCATGGGCACCGAGTCACCAGGTACGACAGGGGCTCTGAGTCAATTGGCACGACAGCGGGCACCGGATCAGGTACCGGATCATCTGGATCAACAGCGGGCATCGAGTCAACTGGCCTAATAGGATCGTCAGGCTGGATCAGTTCATCATGCTGGGTAAGAGGCATCAGGCTGAATGCCGGCGTCCGGCTGAGTAGAGGCTTCAGGCCGAGTAGAGGCTTCAGGCCGAGTAGAGGCTTCAGGCCGATGTAGAGGCTTCAGGCCGAGTAGAGGCATCAGCCGAGTAGAGGCATCAGGCCGAGTAGAGGCATCAGGCCGAGTAGAGGCATCAGGCCGAGTAGAGGCTTCAGGCGAGTAGAGGCATCAGGCCGAGTAGAGGCTTCAGGCCGAGTAGAGGCATCAGGCCGAGTAGAGGCATCAGGCCGAGTAGAGGCTTCAGGCGAGTAGAGGCTTCAGGCCGAGTAGAGGCATCAGGCCGAGTAGAGGCATCAGGCCGCGTACAGGCTTCAGGCTGAACCACGGAAGGCAGGCTCACCGGTTTGGATACTGGCAGGATGGTATTGGTTGGAAAGAATTTTCGCTTTTTTCTGGTTTTAACTACTGGAGCACTGCAAGTAAACGCAGGTCTGCAAACGAATGGAGCAGCTGGAGACAGAGAAGAACTGGAGGATGGAACAGGAGAGGGAGCAGTTGCTACAGAGGGCTTTTTACAGGGTTAAAGGCAGGATAGGTGCAGCGAGTGGGAACAGGGTACTGACATGCGGTAGATAGCCAAGTATACTGGGCTGTAACTGGAGGAGCTGTTGGGAATACAGGAGTAGAGTTAGAAGCAGGACTGGGTTTTTGTAAGCTGACTGAGGCTGGGTGCAACAAGTCTGTCCATGTCTGCAGTATGGGTTGAACAAAGCTGAGCTTACACAAAGCCTGTCTGGTCAATGACTGCACTGCGTTTATACAATCTCTTAGTGTCTGTGGTGAACATGTGGAATAACGCTCCAGAAAGTAACCCACATCATCCTCTAATAACCACACCAGGGACTCTACCTGGTCTGCACTAAATGGTGGCAAAAATTCATCCCTGCATTCGGGGGTACCAGATGAAACCAACTCTGCAAAACCTCAATCAAAGGCTGCACCTCAGAGAACTCTGTGCCCTGATCTACTAGAACATGAGCGAGCCGTATACATTCTAGCAGTTCATCCCGGGTATACTCCTTCAGAGTTTGATAAGCATACTCCCTGTCATCAAACACTAGCAGATATAAATACGCAACCTCATCCAGATCCATCCTTCCCATCAACAAACCAAGATGGCTTCCCTGTGCAGCCACTTCTGGTCAGGATTGGCTTGGTGTAATGTCAGGGCTCCCAGGTATGACCAGAGGTGTGTGACTGATGCAGGGAAACGCAGACTTCAGATATGTGATTAACAATATAATTTATTAACACTAACAATACAAACATAAACGCAGTGCAATACTAAACATAATACAGTGCAAACAAACCCAACCAACCACCCACAGATAACAGTACATACAAGCAAGCGTCGTCAGGCAGGCCGAGTCAATATCAATTGGGCAGGTAGGTACAGGGGGAGCAAGCGGAGAATGGTCGGGGTCACAGGCCAGGTTTCAGCAGGTAGCAAGCAGCGTAGTACAGAGGGTCAGGCAGAGGGATGGTCAGGGTCACAAGCAGGGATCAGAACAGGTAGCAAAGGAACAGAAACAGGATGCAGGACAGATACAGGGCCCAGGACAAACACAACACCAAGGCAGAGTCTGCAAGTCTGGCCATCCCTTAAATACACCAGTATCATCAGTTCCAGGTGTTAGCTGGCTGAAAGGTTGAGTCTCTGATTGCTGGGAGCACCCGCTGGCCAGCCCTGGTACTGCAGATCAAAAGGCAGGTGAGTCCCACCATTGCTGGCCAGTCCATTCCTGACAATACCCCTAGACTCCATCCAAGTTGTTAACCCCTAATAAAAACAACAAAAACAAGCTCAAGGACTGATTTACTGACTCGGAGAGGAAGTGTGGAAAATGCATGTTGCCTGGCTCTGCAGAGCTTAGGGGGAACCAGGAAAATCCAACAGCCGTCAAGGAGGTAGCGCTACAGGAACACAACTGGAATTATGTCCTGTGGCTGCCAATAATAAGATGTCAAAATGTATGCATGGTTATTATACAATGGGAGGAAGTTAGAATGAGGGTTCCAATACCTGAATTTTCTTTATTAGTGGAGCAAATTGGAAGACCACCTGACTGACCACACTTTAGCAGACCAGCAGAGCTGTCTCAGGCCAGGGTCGAAAGTGTGGCCATATTCCAAAAAGAATGTTATGTGTAACTGCAAAAAACAGGGAGCTCTCCTATTCTGCGACATTTTTTAGGGCTAGGTGACTTTAAAGTGTTACTTTAAAGCCAGGACCCTGCATTCACTATATCTGGTCTCCCACAGTACACACAAACATAGAAATGTAATTATTTTAGAAACTATAAATTGCTAAATACCCTTTGTCATCAGCAGTTACAGCAGTCGTGTGACTTCTATCAAATGGTCCATTTCATCCCATCAGCATTGTAATAACAATACAGACACTAGGTATTTTCTACTAGCCAGTGTAAGCTTTCTTGAGAAATCTCCTTCATGCTGTATGTAAGAGCTGGTTCTCTATTGGCCATCTCTTTCCACAACTTCCCAGATTCCCTTCATGCTTTTGCAGCTTCTACATTTCTAAGACTACATATCCCATGGTACCTTGCTGCCTGCATGCTGTGATCCCTGTACTGACTCCACCTCCTGAAACTCCGCCTCTCAGCATCTCTGTAGTTCAGAAGGCCTATTCACAGGGCATAGTGACTACATGTCACAGAATTCAAGTAAATGTGTGGGGATCTTCACAAATTAAAGTGTTACTAAACCCAGGACCCTGCATTCACTATATGTGTGGTCTCCATATGTACACAGAAAATGGAAATGTAATTATTTTAGAAAATATAAAACTGCTAAATACCCTTTCTCATCAGCAGTTAGATCAGTCTTGTGACTTCTATCAGTGTCCAGCAGAGCACTATTTAAAGCTTATAGGAGGAGTTTTCATTCTCCCCTGATTGTCCTATGAAGCCTCAGCATAACCCCTGACCCTCTGTCTGGGCAGTGCTGATTGGCCCTTTGCTGATCACATGCACTCTCCCAAGAAGAGAAGAAACTCTCTAGCAATACACACCAAATTGAGCATGTGCAGCTTGCCCCCAAGGCTCTGTTCTATCAGCAGATAGATTGGAGAGAGAAGAAGGAGAGGATCAGAAAAGACTGGATCAAACATCCTTTTTACACAATGCGGAGGATTAACCCCTTAGGATCTACAGTAAATATAACAAGCATGCTTTACTGCATATACAGACTGATTTTACAGTTGTGGGTTTCGTAACACTTTAAAGAATTGGATAAAACCAACATTTTATATTTCCGATATGTGTCTGCTGTACCATGTACTTGTATGAAAATGTATCCTGTTCTCTTTGTATTGCTTCTGTTGTACAAAATCCCTGGTGTTCCTGTCAGTCTTATTACAAACTGACTATACTAGGCAGGAGAGCACAGCATGGTCAGTTTTCTGACTGTGCTTGGAAACCAGTCATCTCTCCTCTGCTGTTTGCCCACCTCTCTATGCAGCTGAGAATAGAGGGTATGTGATCACTTATAAAAAAAAAAGGGGAAAAAAGGTATCTTTTATGTTTTTTACGTCTATACACACGTTTTTCCTTTCTCTTCCATTTTAAGCTGAATGGGTTTTTTTTATAATGTGGTTCACAAATACTTTAAGGATTAATATTGGATGAAACAATACAGTACTGCTAAATGACATATTTGCATAAACGCACACCCAGTGTATAATCGTTTACACTTTAATAATTTACTTCTTGGTTGGAGAAGGCTGCAATGCAAGGGGACAAAGCATTGAGAACACACTATTAATAGACTGCTGTGTGCTGAGTCTGGTATTCCAGTTCACTTGAAACCAACACTGTGGAGCCAAATGCACGTTGAAGCGGACATCCTCTACAGATCTCTATTATGAAATATTATCTGAACTCTTTTGCTCTGCTTCTTTCACAGCTTTGTCCTTGTACAGTTACATTCTGAGAACCAGCTCCACACAGAATTAAACATTTATATTTATACAATTGGAGCAGAAACAAATGTGCTGAAATTCAAAACTGGTTTCTGCAAATCCCATGCACAGTGATAATAAAATTAATTCATGAATGGGCCCCAGGTAATCATGCAATACATACAATGGTGGTTAATACGTAGGCCTGGTCACATAATTATCTTTCTTATAGTGTAATAATATATTGTTGGTAATTTCAATATATGAGGGGCATTCAAGTCCAACCAGGACCTTTGAGTTTATATAACAAAAAAAACGGATTTCGAACGAGTGGAAACTGCATTTATTTTTCAACATACTCCACTGCTACATTTATACACTTATCCCAGCGTTTAACTAATGCCTGGAAAACTTTGGCATAGAAAGATTTGTCAGTATGCCTGAACCATCCTAGGGCAGCCTGCTTGACTTTGTGATCAATGCTGAAATGCTGACCTCCAAGGAACACTTTTAGGGGTCCAACTTCACAACCGGTTATGTGTCAATTATCCAGGATCATCAGGCGTTCCATGCGTTGAATGTTCACAGGAATGGCTGCTGTGGGCTGGGATCCATCGTCACTGATGGACCTACAGCAATCTTTGACATGTTTACACCATTCAGTGTCTTACTGAGGCTGAGCTTCTCATCACCATATTGTCCTTGAAGTCTTCTGTAGATATCTGCAGGTTTTATGCCTTTGTTCACAAGAAACTTCATCATCACACGCTGTTCCATGCACGCATTAACACTGTTGTCTGCC